GGGGGGCAGGTGTGGATCTGGGTGTGCAGGATTGGACTGGTGGGAGGCATTTGTGGGGGTGGGAAGAATGCAGGAGTCTGGGGAGGCAGGGGCTGCAGTGGATCCAGGCATCTGGGTGCTGAGCCTCCTTCTCCCAAGCTGACAGGACATAGAGCAGGGTGGCTTGAGTGATGGGGAGGTGCACCTGGCTGCCATCATGGAGCATGGGATGGAGGGCCAGGGGCTGTAGGCAGACCAGCTCCCACACCCCTGAGGGCTCCCCCATCTCCAATCCAGGCCATGAGCCCCTGGAGATGCAATAAACTGCTCTTGGGACCATCTGCACCCATGTCCGTGCCCTCTGTGCTAGGCCCCGGCCACCTGGGTTCCCCAGCTGTGGAAAAGTGGGGTGGGAAATCTCCCGGCCCAGCCAATGCCCTTCGCTCCTGCCTGGCAGCCCCCTGCCCCTCCAGCCTTGCTGGTACCTCTCACTCCCAACCCACAGCTCCTAGCAATGCAGACCAGATGCCATTTGATCACCGCAGAGTTGTTTATTGAGGCGTTTGGGGGAGGGATTGCATCCCAACCTCCCCACATCCATGTCATCGGATCCCAGAGCAGCAGGGCTGGGAGGGGCCTCAGGGGTGGTGGGGGAGGGGGGGGGGCTCTGCTTGGTTCCCAGCAGGCGATCAGGCCCCTTCCTGCTCAGTCCAAGCCGGTCCTGGGGTTGTCCCACGTGGGATGCAGGACCCTGCCCTCATCTGCAGGACACTTCCCCTACTCCAGTCCTCCCAGGGCTAGCGGTCTCTGGATCTGTGCCCCCCCCAGCTCGGTGTCATTGCTGAGGGGCTGTGGGTGCCCTGCACCAGGGATTGCAGATTTGTCCATGTCAGCCGGCCACTTCGAGAGGGGCATCCAGCTGGTGGCGGAAGGACACGCGTGCCTTGCCGCTGAAGTAGGCCCGGGGGGTTCCTGGCTCTGGCTCCGGCCCTGGCCCTGGTGGGCTGGGGGGGTCCTGGGGCT